AGAGTGAAACCATATGGTATCTGTCTTTCTCTGTATGGCTTATTTCACTTAGCATCACACTCTCCAGTTCCATCCACGTTGCTACAAAAGGCCATATTTCATTCTTTCTCATTGCCACGTAGTATTCCATTGTGTATATAAACCACAATTTCTTTATCCATTCATCAGTTGATGGACATTTAGGCTCTTTCCATAATTTGGCTATTGTTGAGAGTGCTGCTATAAACATTGGGGTACAGGTGCCCCTATACATCAGTACTCCTGTATCCCTTGGGTAAATTCCTAGCAGTGCTATTGCTGGGTCATAGGGTAGGTCTATTTTTAATTTTCTGAGGAACCTCCACACTGTTTTCCAGAGTGGTTGCACCAGTTTGCATTCCCACCAACAGTGCAAGAGGGTTCCCGTTGAGAGATTTCATTTCCTTATGTGAGACGTTTAAATCAGAAAGACCTTGTTTTTCCAACCTTTTTGAGATGTAGCTTAATTTCTCTTTTTTAGAGCGGCATGCAGAATGTGTGCTGGTAAAATGCAGTGTGCCCTGACAGGGCAAGGAGCTAAATTCTTCAGTTTTTCACTGGTGGTAAGATACGTGCAAGTGTTTCATCTGCTGGCCACGCTGGCAACTTGTATGGTTGTGCCATGGCCTGTGCAAAGCATGAAGCTGTCAGTTGTCAGTGGAGAGAGTCAGAGGAAAACATGGGAAGTTTGAGGTGGGTTGTAGAGTTATGTGCAAGAGACGGTCCTGCCATAGATCGTTAGAGAGTGGGCAGAACACTCTCACTTCGCTACTTCTGTCATTTATTGTGCAGCGTAAATCTAAAGCCCATGTATTTTATTATTGGGAAGTTCTTTCTTTATCTTGTTATAAACCCAGCAGCAATCATTTCTTAAAGATGGAAGTGTAGACTTAATGAAGAATGAAGTACTGACTTTCTTTCTCAGTACTCACTGTGCACAAAATGTTTATCAGTGTTTACCAGCCACTGTGAGAGTTGTAGTGATGTCACCGACCACACAACGACCAGAAGATAAAATGGACTGAAAAAAGATCAGCATCTATTTAAAAAGTTGAGTTGTAGGGATGAGCTCTGGGTGTTATATGTAAGTGACAAATCACTAAATTCTACTCCTGAAATCATTATTACACTATATGTTAACTAACTTGGATTTAAATACATTTTTAATTTTTAAAAAGAAGTTAAGAGTTATTTTAAGAAGATTGTGTCTCCAGGGACGCCTGGATGGCTCAGTAAGTTAGTG